AGTGTCTTCCATGTAGATTTTTAGGATGGAAGAGACATCAAACATATAAGTTGTATCACCTTCTCCATGGGTAAAATTTCCATTTGGAAGCTTACCAGGAAATAGCTCCTCCACACTGAGACCAGCTTGGCCTTGAACTTCATTGGAGGAGACAGGGGGACTCACACCCACCCATTTGATTCTGATTTCCAGGATCTGGGGGAGCCAATGTCAACATACCAGCAGATGTTTTGCCCAAAAGACAAACTGGAAGGGCTGGGCACAGTGGCTCACACCTATCATCTTAGCACTTGGGGAGGTTAGGGTGGGAGAATCATTTGAAATCAGAAGTTTGAGACCAGCATAAGGAACAGCAAGACTCATTCTCTACTAAAAATAGAAAAAATTAGCCAGACATGATGTGCACTCATAGTCCTAGCTACTTGGGAGGCTAAGACAGGAGGATTCCTTGAGCCCAAAAGTTTGGGGTTCCAGTGAGCCATCATATGACCACTTCACTCTACTGAGGGCAAGAGAGCAAGACCTTGTCTAAAAATAAAAATAAAAAAGAAAAGACAAACTTGAAGGCCTGCAGGTGTTAGAAGGAATTCCAAACCAGGAACTCAGCATTTCAGGGATGAGGTCCCTTCAAGTATCTGAGGAATACTCTGAACCCTTCCCCCCAGGAGCAGGAGACACATACGTGTTCGTGCTCCTTCCCCTATTGCCAATATAGTCACTGTTCTCCTTCTGCTCTCTGGGTTTATTCTTGCATAGGGTTTTGCAGGCTGTTCACGTGAACTCCCCAGAGTCCTCCTGCTAAAGAATTCTGCTCTGAACAAGTGATGCCTTCTTTTCTGTTGAGTCATTCTTTCTCATTTGAGGGGGAAACCCTTAAATGCAGAGCATTGATTGGATGTCTGTGAGGGACACGGAGTGAGCCACAGGATGTGGTGGCACTGCCATCACTCAGGAACCACTTTGGCCCACAGTGGGCCAGCAGGGAGTACCCCCTACTCCTCCCCTGATCTGTCTCGATCTGTCTCCATCTGTCAGAGTCCTAGAAGATAGGTCCTGTTTTGGCACCTCCAAATTGGTAGAGAAAGACCCAGCAAGTACACTGAGGGCATGCGTGTGGAACAGGAACGAGCAGGCGGTAGCCACAGGCCTGGACTTCCTTTGTTAAGTAACACAGGGGAGAGAGCAAGGCTTTGGCTGGAGACCACCAGTCATCACCATCTGGAGCTTAAAGTAGAGGGTCCTGGGTCTATGCTAAGGGAGATTTTGCTCCCCAGGGGACATTTGGCAATATCTAGAAGTATTTTGGTAGTTCCATCTGGGAGGACGATGCTAGTGGCATTTAGTGGGCAGAGGTGAGGGGTGCTACTGAGCGGCTGCAGTGCACAGACAGCACCCCCAAAAGAATCATGCTACTCAGAACACCAGTAGAGCTGGGGCACAGACACCCTGATCTAGGCTAATTTTCAGCTTCCAGTGAGTCACGGTTGCTCCTTTGCTGCAGTTCTAAGGTGGCTATGGAGAGAAGACACCAGAAAAGAGGCATAACTCTGGGTTTTTATTTATTTAATTTTGTTTCAATTGCCTTTTAGTTAAGCCCTGACCAGCGTGCAACAAGGGTGTGCCTGGTATTCTATCTAAGCCCTGGGATTCTCTCTCAGTGTGAGCCAAGGTGGTTGGAGCTTGGAGCTGCTGCCCAGGCCTTGCCCCAAGCCAGCTGCTGTGGGTGCCATTGGCTCTCCTGCTCGGTGGCAGATATTCCAGCACTTTCTACATTGTGGGTTCTGAGGCAGATGTGGGCTTGCGTGGAGGAGATGGTGAAGCTTAGTTTCTAAGTATTTTTTGTTTCTAACAGCTGGAAGCTGAAGCTACTCACCGTGTTATCACCATTGCCAACAGGGTAAGTAGCCCGCTGTCCACCCTGGGGTTAGAAACCACCCTCTGCAATGCAACCTCATTCTGTGGTGGTGCCAGCACCATGCCTGGCCCACAGGACTCCTGGACTGTTTGTTGAGCCAGTGCTGTTATTCTGCAGTTCTTGAGAGCCCCCTTCTTGCTGCCAGCTCTCTGTTTTACCTCCCTCTCTATGCCACCTCTCTGAGCTTACTCAAGTGTAAATGGCTCCCCCGGGGAGGCAGGGGAAGGCAGAGAGACAGAGCCTCAATGCAACTGGAATCTGTTTGCTTAAAGAACCATGATTTAAACTTATGCCACTGGGGCTGGACCATTGTTCTCACACATTTTTCCCTGGCATGGTTAATGGTAAACTCCCTCAGGGTGATGAGCGCTGATGGAGTGTGGTGGAGGAACAAACAAGAGACGTGGCATGGATGTTCTGGCCTTTACCAGATGTAAGCTTGTGACCACATGCAAGTCCTTTAACCACTTGAAATAGTATTTTATTGTATGACATTGCAGTGATAGACCCCTCTTATCCATGGATGATACATTCTACGATCCCCAGTCGATGCCTGAAACCACATGTAGTACCAAACCCTATATATACACTATATAAATGCATACCCATGATACATTTTTCTTATATGTGTATGCCCATAATAAGTTTTTTCTATACGTGCATACCCTTGATAAAGCTCAATTTATAAAATTATGCAGAATAAGAGGTTAAAAACAATAACTAATAATGAGGGTGATCATAACAGTATGTCAGCATGACTACTCTTGCAATTTGGGTCCATTATTAAGTAAAATAAGGGCCACTGAACACAAGTCCTGTGATACCATGCCAGTTAGTCTGATCACCAAGGTAGCTACTAAGTGACTAATGGTCAGGGAACATGTGCAGTGTAGATACGCTGGACAAAGAGAGGCCTCACGTCCTGGGAGGCCTAAGTGAGATGGCACAGAATTTCACCACATTACTCAGAACAGTGTACAATTTAAAACTTACAAATTGTTGATTTGCCATTTAATATTTTCAGACCTGGGTTGACTGTGGGTAACTGAAACCATCGATAAGGGGGGACTGCTGTGTCACTTTTCACTGGATGGTTATGAGGATCAAAGGGGCTATAGGAAGGAAGGTACTTTATAAACAGTAGAATGCTGTATATAGGTCATCATTAAAGGCTTGATTAATGCAGATAATCTGAACTACTTTCTCTAGATAGTTTTCAAAATGTGGTCCCTGGACCAGCAATACCAACCTCACTTATTAGAAATAGAAACAAATGCAAATTCTTAAGTCCCATGCAAAACCACCGAATCAAGAACTAGGGGTGAATCCCTGCAAGCTACATAATGTGGTATTGACAAGCCCCCCAGTTGTTCTAATGAGCACTAATACCAGGGAATCTCTCCTCTAGGGCACCCTAGGCTATCTTGGAAGATGTAAACAAGAAAGTGTGGTCTTAGGAATATCAAGGGGAAAACAGAGAGGTTGTAGGTCCCACTGATCTCAGAATTAGTAAGCTTCTGCTAAGACCATCAAACGTCAGGCCACTTCCTAAACTTTATAAAAGTTTATAAACTCCTAATTTGATAAGCAAAGATGGAATCAGAGTAACATTTATTAGGAAAACAGAATTTCCCATTAGCATTTAATAAGTCGCCAAGCTGGACAAAGACATTATTTTATTGTCACGACATAGTTATTTTATCAGTTACTTCCTTAATAGAAACTGACCCCAGAATAAGGAAAGACAACAAAAGTCAGCACCTTGTTCTTTAGTTCAAATATATGCCCATCATTGCTCAGCACTTGGCCTTCCGGGTGGGCTCCAGTGCTGAATGCTGCTCGCCGCCTTCTTGCTTTGTGCAGTTGCTCAGGCCACAGCCATGCTCTGGCTGCCAGCCCTGTGTTCCCAGCTTAAGATTGTCACTGTCTGGGTGGGGTTGAGCCACATAGGGGAAGGTGCCGATGCTGGGACTGATTCTGCCAGGGTTATTTTGGTGCTTGTTGAGTTTTTGGGCCAATGCTCCCTACTTCCTACTGTTTTCTACATTTAGACTCACTGTCCGATCTACCTGGTCAACGTGTCCAGCATCTCAGCTGGTGATGTTATCGCAGCTGCTAAGATGCAAGGTGAGTCCTTAGGCTTGGATGGGCAGTGCACATGATGTGGTGGGACTGGGGGACAACAGGGCCCACCAGCTGTGTGCACTCCCTGGCCCTGGCTCCCAGGCCCAGGACCTAAGCTGGCCCTTCCCTTCGCTCTACCACTGTCTTCCTCAGAGTCCCCCTACACAGGCCTGGCTAGATCCAGGGTCTTTTCCTCTGCATATTTGTATGCGTAACAGCTTGCAGAATTGTCTGTCACCGCTCCTCAGTCTGGTAAAATTTACCAACTTTTAAACTCACTCATTAATTGGTGTCTTTTCAGCCTCTTAGGTTTTACTAGTGGTTGCCATGACACCTACCGTAAAATCCTGGACCAAATCCACTGGGCCTTTCATGGGACATCTGGAAAAAAGAACTGCATGTGGGCCCAGGTTCCCTTTACCCTGCAACCGAGAATGAGCCCTTGGGGCACTTGTATGCCTCCTGTTGCTGGTTGCCTGGCAATTCCTGGAGGCTTCATGGTTTCTTGTAGCCCAGCCCAGGGTGCTGGTGAGAGTCTGGCAACAGGAGACACAAAGTCACAGTCACAAACCTGGGACTATGAATGAGAAGCAAGGGCATCCCAGCCTTCATATTGCACAGTCCTCTAGATCTCACCACCTGCTAAAGCCCCTCACTGGACTCTCACCTAGACTGTTGTCCCAGCCTGCCGAGTGGGCTCCCACCTCCTTATCTCCCTGCCCACCTGCCCTGTTGTGGGGCCCATCCCTGGTAATTCCCCGAAGCTGCTCACAGCACCTGCCCATTCAGAAACCAGCCCAGACTGCTCCTTAGCATGGTGTTCTTGACCCTGTGTGCCTGCTCCACCCAATATCAAGCCTGATCTCCCAGCAGCACCCCGCATGCACCTGTACTCTGGCCACACCAGACTCCTGGAAGCACCACTCAGTGCTGCCTGGCCACAGTGCTCAGGGCCTTCTTTTCCCCTTGCCTGGAGTCAGCAGGGGAGCCCAGTTGTGCTCGAAGATGCCCCAGTGAGCGTGGACAAGTCCCTTCCCATCTCTGTCCTCAGCTCCTTCTCCCATAAAATGAGAGGCTCAGACCAATGATCTCTCAGGGTCAGTGGCTTCCTAGTTATACTTTTGACCCTTCTTCTTCCAGGGAAGGTTGTACTGGCTGAGACCACCACTGCCCATGCCACACTGACAGGCTTACACTACTACCACCAGGACTGGTCCCACGCAGCTGCCTATGTCACAGTGCCTCCCCTGAGACTGGACACCAACACTTCAACCTACCTCATGAGCCTGCTAGCCAAGTAAGGCATTTTACCAGGACTGCTGTGGCCTCACGGCACAGCCATTCAGGGAATGTGTAAGATCCCTAAGGACATGTCATCGAGGCCCTAGGAAACAAGTCTGATTCAAGATTGATTTCATTGTACCCACAGGATAATCTTGCTTTTACTGCCTTCTTCAGAGCCCATCAGATAATCGCTGTCCTGTTAGGCTTCCTGATCATTTGATTTGGAGTGAGAGCTTCTGAAATGTCAAATGAAAGAGGATATAGAAAACTGTGAACAGGCTGGGCTCGGTGGCTCACACCTCTAATCCCAGCACTCTGGGAAGCCAACACATGGATGGCTTGAGGTGTGGAGTTCGAGACTAGCCTGAGCAAGAGGGAGACCCTGCCTCTAAAAAATAGCTAGGCATTGTGGCAGGTGCCTGTAGTCCCAGCTACTTTGGAGGCTGAGGCAAGAGAATCACTTGAGCCCAAGAGTTTGAGATTGCTGTGAGCTATGATGCTACAGCACTCTACCGAGGGTGACAATGTAAGACTCTATTTCAAAGAAAAACTGTGAACATTAGTCATTTCTAAGGACATAGATTTCTTACCCTAAAGCCCAGGAGGGAGCTGTAGGATGTGGCCTCTGACTTATCCTAGAATATACAGGGTCCTTTCTATCTCTTTTTTTTACCCCTCTCTCTTCTTGCCTCCCACGCGTTTCCTCTGCTGTGTGTACCCTACTCCTGTTTCTCCTTCTTTCCCTCCCCTTCTCCCTTCTTCTGCACTTTCTCCCTTTTCCCCCACACTTCTCTCTAGATCTCTTCTCCACCTACTCTTTTTGACACCCCTTTTCTGCCTTTGATCCTAATCTAAAGAAGATGTTTTGATAAACAGTCAAAGTTTGGTGGGACACACTCATGAAAGGTTTTGTTTTGTCCCAATAACTGCTGGCAGCTTCTTTTCCTCCCCTGGTCACATTTTAGGGAGGGGTGATTGCTTTCTCTTCACTTTTGACCTGGTGAGGAAGTTTAGGAGTCAGTCTCCTCCCCTCTCTATCCCTAGCTCAGCTCAGGCTGGAGTAGAGGGATTGGGAAAAAAAGTGGGAGGATTCTTCTCCATACCCAAGCAGCACGTGTCCCAGCTTGCAGCACCAGCAAAGACTCTTGCAAAGGCAGCCTAAGCTTTGCCACCTTCTGCAGCATCCAGGGCCCCAAGGAAGCTCACATTGCCTTGCTACTCCCGGCAGTGGGAGGGCAGGTCATCCCTCCCAGAGGCTCAGAGGTGGGTCTACCCACTGCTCTCACCTCTGTTCTCCACAAGTGAACCTCTTAAAATGTGCCCTCCTTATTCTTGGGTAGACTAGGGGTGGCAAGAGTATGGACTCAAGGCAGAGGAGGGAAGGAAAAACTTCTGGGTCTTTCCATATACCAGCACCTTGTTCTCCCTTCCCTCTAGACTGGCAGGGGTAGTGGAGGGCAGTGACCAGCCCCACTGAAGATAGCTTTCTCTCGATAATGAGGCATTTATCTCACCCATATCCTTGGCCTGCTTGCCTGATTGGGAAAATTCCCAATCACGTACTGTTAACAACCTAAAGAGAGGTGTAGAGTGTCGAGACGTTGCAACAGAGTGCAGTCCCCACAGTCGTGGGCAAAGGTGGCCTCTGTGGAGGGGCAGTACACATCATGGCAGAGTGGCAGTAATTACATTCTGTCTCATACTTTTGCTGTGATACTAAGCAGCCACAGCAGCTCTTACAAATGTAAATAAATTTGGAGGGTAAAGACAAGGAAGAAATGCTAGAGCAGCTCTGACTTTTAAAAATGATCATTGTTGGGGTGGCACCTGTGGCTCAAAGGAGTAGGGTGCCGGCCCCATGTACTGGAGGTGATGGGTTCAAACCCAGCCCCAGCCAAAAAAAAATGCTCATTGTTGAGAAAAATCAACCTCCTTTTCATTACTATCAATACAACAAAACAAAGAATTATCAAGAAGTCACTATAATAATTTGGGTTTGGTTCTGAGGTCAAATAATCTTTTGAAATGCCTCTTGCTTGCTATAAGCAAATTACTAAAAGAACAAAACGATAATAAATACCCAAACCCACCCAAATTCAAATGGCAGGAGAAAAAAGTATTATTGATTGAATAATTTACATTTTTATACCTAACCTATTTTGTCAAATTTATTTTCACTATTCTATTTATTTAAGTAAAATTGTAAGTACATGTGTTATAAGAAGAGTTTAAATCCTTTTTAAATCAAAGCATATTGTAAATTTGTGCTCTTTTATCAGATTTGGAGCATAATTTTAACATTTTAATTATAGGAATTTATGATTATTTATGGTTTTGCTTTCATAATACATTGTTGCTGTGCTCACTTCGGCAGCACATATACTAAAATTGGAATGATACAGAGAAGATTAGCATGGCCCCTGCGCATGGATGACACACAAGTAATACATTGTTGCTTATAATTTATATGATGAATATTGCTTTTTTTTTTTGAGGTGGGGTCTTGCTGTATTGCCCAGCTGGTCTCTAAACCCCGAGCTCGAGTGATTCTCTCACCTCCCAAGCCGAGTTTCTGGGACTCTCCATCCACCAGCACCTTGCTCTCCCTTCCCGCTAGACTGGCAGGGGCAGTGGAGGGCAGTGACCAGCTCCCTCTCTTCTCACCTCGCCTCCCAACCTGAGTGTTTGGGACTGCAAACAATGTAACTCAGGCTCAGTTACCATTTCAATAAGAAAACAATGAGCTGCTTTGGGATGTGGTTTGCTAGGGTATGTAGGAATAGGATATACAATCTGTAGATTTGTTCTATATTTAAAATTTGACTTATTAAAGGGATCAGAAGATTTTTATTTGGACATGTAAAATTTTAAAGTAGTTGACAAAGCCAGTCATGTTTTAAACTTGAAACAGTTTGGATGGGTGTCCTGTCTCCCGGGTGCAGGGCAGCGCTGTGAGACACCCTCTGAGACGTGACCACGTTCCCTCACTCCTGCTTCATGGTCATCTGCTTGAGTAGGGACTTTTCTAAAGAAAGTTGGGTGCTCAGTGAGACTTGGTGGTTAAAAAATGGGAGGTAAGCCTGTTCTCAAGGTCTCATCCATCTGTGGTGGGTCTGCAGGTCCAGAGTATGGGAGCCCTTGGGGTCTCTGAAAGACTGTCTTCCACAGAGCTATCATCTGACCACAGGTCTGGCCAAAGACACTAGTCATTTGGCAAGAGCTGTGACTATTGAGTCCTGCCAGGCTGCTGTGGAGACAGCTCTGTGTGTGGCCTGACTAGCTGTTGTCTGAGAGCCTTGAGAATATGCTTCCTCACCAGGTCAAATAGTGCCTTCTGCTCCCAGATTGTCCTTGAAGCAGGCCTCTTAAATGGTTCGCATACACTCACAATAAGGCTATGGTGTCTCCTGCAGAGTCAAATGACTCCTCGCTGCCCCTCAGGGCCCCCTCTCAATAGCCCTCGCTGAGTCCCTTCCACCTGACTCTCCTGCTCCAGCCAGCCCCTCCCTGCCCTCCAAGGGCTCTTCCTCTTGAGGTGGCCCAGGCCTGGCTAAGTGGGCATTCTCTGTCCTCTGCCCATCACTGCTGCAGCCCTTGGCTACAGAGATCTCTGAATCTGAGCCAACTGCCTGCCTCCCTCCTTTTGGCAGAGGGTCTGCCACGAAGTGCCCTCTCTCACTGTCCTGCATCAAGTCTTAGAGAGCTGGGAGTCCTACAGTTGTCCACCCACAGCCTTAATTTCCATCTGTGGACCACGGTCCTGGATGGCATAGGGTGAGCTGACTTGGACCCCAACATTGGCAGAATAAGTCTGGCTTCTTTTCTGCCTTGTCCCTCCTTCCCCTTCAGGGCCATTAGAGCCCCCGCATCCAAGGAAGGCTCTGGATCTGAGTTGCTTGGCAAAGCTTAACAGACTTTGTGATGCTCGTGGCCAACATGTAGGACTTGGGGAGCCAGTGAGAGGGAGTTGCCATGTGATTTCATGATGGTAAAACCACCTCCACCATTTCACTTTGGCTAAACACTAAGTTCAGTTCTTCTCTGCCCACCGTTTTAACTCTCAAGAATTGCCATCCCAAAGGTTCTTCTCACTGAAGTCTCTTGTGACATGGACAGTCTATGCCACACTCCTTGAATATTGCCATTCCAGAGATGAACAAACAGATTCACAAAGATGGAGCAACTCTTTAGAGGTCACAGAGCTACTAGGTGGCAGAACTGAAAGTGGAATCAGCTTTGCCTTGTTCCCAAGCCAAGGCCTTTGCCCTGTGCCTGCCCCCACCCCTGGGGTCCTGGCCTCTCCTTTCCTTACTGGCCACATCCTTCTCTCTACCCAGTGACACTCTGAACATTGTGGCATCAGATCACCGGCCTTTCACCACGAAGCAGAAGGCTATGGGCAAGGAGGATTTCACCAAGATCCCACATGGAGTGAGCGGCGTGCAGGACCGCATGAGTGTCATCTGGGAGAGAGGAGTGGTATGTTCTCTGCGTCCCCTCCCCTCTCTAACCCTAGCAGGAGTCTTCACTCCACAGATCCTGTCCCAGAGCATTCTTAGAAGGGCTGGTTCAACCCTAGTTCTTTGTTTCACTCAAAAAGAAAAGAAAAATGGCTCCCCCCATTAGAAAGGTAATAAGACATTTGGAAAATACAGAAAAATATAAGAAAAAAATTCCCATAAATCCATGCCTAGAAATTAAACTAGTGTTAACATGTTGGTGTATCTATTTCTAGTTCTGTACACATACTATATGTTATCTTAATAACTGGGTTTGTCTTTTTTTCACAGCTGAAATTTTCCTCCAATAGAAGTGTCATACTTTA